GGTTAATAAATAGACGTTGTTGGTCTCATTTGTATAAAGAAACGTATACATAGATTTTTATCCTGCAAACATTGTAATATCTATTCATAACATTCATTTTATCTCAATATTTTTTACCAAAATTTTATATTGAACTTTGTATTATCATAATACGAATTTTGTATAATCCTTTATAGCAATTTCAAAATAGAGTTATATTCAAGAATTTTCATTCTTAATCCAGTACTATCCCAACAGCTATGAATTTTTAACGGAAACCAAGCGTAAAACAGAAAGTCAACACCTGTGATTATGCTACATTTGAATCATAGTTAAATTTGTTAACATATACGTGTTTTAACATTGTAAGGTATTTAAGGTTTGTTATTAATAACGAGAGTGGAAAAAATTGGTAATTTAGGATATATATTTTAAAATTTTTGTAAAATTTTGATTTTGAATAGTAAAATTTTAAATTGAAATAATTATTTGATGTGATATAAATATATATTAACGTGATATTTTAAAAGTAAAATTAAATTTTAATATAATATAATATAATAAATAAAAATTAAATGTTCTATTTGATTTCTTAAGGAAAAAATATTTTTGAAATAGCAAAATCAACCTCAAAATTTCATACATAAAACACAAATCAAATATTTAATTTTTTTACTATTTTTTTTTTTAAAAATAATCCAAATTTAAAAAAAAAAAAAAAAACACTTTCTATATACTTTAATGTTATATACTCATTTTTGTTTCTAACTCAGTGTACTGTTATTATTATTATTATTTTTATGCGTACGTTCAAAAATATATTTTTTCTATTATAGTTAATGTAATTTAATATTATTTTTATACTTACGTTCAAAAATATTTTTTTTTATATTTATTATATTTTCATTAATTAATAAAATAATATTTTGAGTCAGAACTGAAAGAATATATAGATTGTGTTTAACAATTAGCTCATAGCTGTTAAGTAATTTGATTAGCTATTAGCTAATTCAATTAGTTGTTTCACTGGTTGATTTAATTAGTAGTTTGTATTAAAATATTTGGTAAAATAGTAATTTGATATTAACTGTTTATATGTAAATGATAGTTAATGATATTTTGTATTTTATTTTTAAAATATTTACTTACATTCTTTGTTTTATAAAACTTTTCACAATTTGTATTATTACTTATTGAAAATTATGAAATTTTTATTAAAATAATTGTTTTTGTTATTTTTAAAATATTTTGTAAGAAATTGTATATATATATTTATTAATTTATTTTTTAATTATTCATAATTTTAAATAAATTTATTCTAATATATATCAGTAATGTAAAAAAAATAAATAGTATATCTAAATAGATTAATAATAATTTCAGGGTGTTTGGAAAAGAACTTTTAAGAGTTTTTTAGTTTATTGAACAGCTTTTAAGTTGTTTGATCAGTTTAAAAAAATTAATCTAAGTGTTTTCATAAATTAGCTTTTTTAAATAAATTATTCGATTCAAAAAGTTAATTCTACAACCCAGCGTTTCAGAGTCTTTTACTTTTCATTTTTTATTTTTTATTTGTCTTTAAAATTTACTATTTATTACACATACATATAAATATATGTTTCTTTAGATGAGTTTTAAAAAAAAAAAAATTGGTTTTCAGTTGTGTTTGGACTACATTCGAAATAAGTGTACGTTAAGGATAATGCTATGGTTCATAGCAAGAGTTTCGTCCGTATTTTTGGAGGGAAGCCACTCTCTGTACCTCTATCCGACATTTTAGAGAAGTTGAAAGAGGCTCTAGCACAGGGGTTGGAGCCTCTAGCTGTTTCTAACGTTGGTCGCTTATTTATTTTGTTTGGTTTTTGCAATATTTTATTCGTAACGGCAAACTATCATGTCCCTATTTTTCTTCTGGGTACGTTGATGACCTACATGTATCAGTTGTATGTAATTTACAGTGATTATCTGGCCATGTTATGATTGATCTCATCCGTAATTTTCATTGTGCATGAAGTTTTTAGACATGATTAATTTATTAGACTGATTACCCACAAATACTTTCCGTAACAACATATATACCGACTTAACACTCATGCATATATCCCTATTGTTAGAGGGAGTGTTCCCACGGAGTTCCTTAATTGCCTCAATCGTCGGAGGATTGACTGTTGTCGACCACAAGGATACCTGTAGTTATACATATAATAGTTAAGTAACCACCAATCATACTTACAATATCGGTGTTTGTACCCCGAGAATATTGTCACATACGTGGACAACGGACATACCTCAATGCAATCTTTACGTATCTGCAAAATGAAGTTATATGCTCCGCTGAAGCATATCTATACCCTCTGGTTATCTGTGGTTGGGAAATAAATCATGCTTGACTCAAAACATTTAATTGCTCTTGGTAACCAAGAATAAATTTATTATTATTGTGTTTCCGCGTATATGTCGAACTGTAAGTGAAAACAAAGAACATATTTTTACTGTGGGGCTAAACAAGTTATACATGACATGGTTAAGTTATGTAGTTTGTTACTCATGCATCATTAATCCCATGGATTGATTGTTTTTTCAGACATATTATGTAATAATCCGAACTGTAGAACACACAACATTCGGTCTACAAAGGCTGAAAGAGAAAGTGCTTTCACCGAGTAAGCAAATTGGCCCTTATGTGTGGCAATGATTGAAATCACCTACACTTGAGGATACCTAGTACTACATAGATAATACCCAATGAACCATTATTTATACCTCGCATGTCGGTGTTTGTACCCCTATCACATTCTCACGTACCTGCATAAAATAGCCACATACCATAGGGTTGATATTAACTACTAATAATTATAGTCTCATATGCTTCCGTAAAGCGTTTATATGCCCCGGTAACCCGCGATTAGGGTAGGGCCGTTTGCGATTCGAAATTTTTACTTTCTGACTGTATTCAGAGATGAGTTCATCATAGTAATCTTCTTGAGACACTCCGAATTATCAGAATCGGTAAACAATACGTGTTTGTCATAGATAGTTAAACAAGTTAGACTTGACTTATTTAGATTGTATGATATATATGTATTATCATAGTTCAACCTCCACTTGTAGATGTCTAACAAAGTCATAAGTGACTAAGTTGAATTATGTTGATTGTTAGAGTACATGATTGCTGCCACAAATGGAAAATTTTTAGACTTATTACATATTAACCCAGATTATGGCGCACACAATAATTTTCGGTCAAGGGCATCTAAGCATATGGTCTGACTCATGCCGCAGATGAGTACTCCAGATCCGATATGCTATACCCCTAATTTGGCTTCGTGTACGAAATTCTACTAGGTGTGTACCTACTACAGTGTTTCATGTAACTGAAAAATCTAATCTTATGACATGATTTCCTAACTTCGTACCTTTATAGCTTTTGTTAATACTTGTGAGGATTTAGTATACGACCGAAAGTGATCTTCATACGTTAGTACCTACGCTACTATGCCAACATGTTCCGATACACCAACTGAAAATGTTAATATAAAAATGAGTTGTGTGGCTCTGATATGTTGTTAGACATCGTTGACTTTAAGTATCATAAAAAAATGAGCGCTATTTCGAACACGTTGTTCATGTCTATGTACGCCAATCCATTCTATCGTTCCCTTTAGTGTACCAATTACAATCAATTGTGTATGGGTTTAATGGATGCAACACAATGTGCTCCAATTCCTTCGTACAAATTACAATCAATTGTGTATAGGACAGTAATACCAAAAAAATGTCATTGTGCTTTGAGATGACAACTAAATACCCCCCAGATAACCCGTATGCCTCTGTTACGTTTCATGATATCTTTATTATTGAATTATCATATACAAAGAGAGAGTGTCAAATACCCGTTGTTCATGTTCATATACCACAATACATCCAAATTATAACTGCGATTCTATGCAAATGTGGTCTTGTTGTTGTTATAATTAACTAAAATATTGCATTATATCAAACACACAAAAAGTAATTACATGCCAAATGAGACGTCCTTGACAAAACCAAAAATTACAACATTTCGAAAAGAATATGGCAACCGATCATTATAGCTTTTTCTGTTGTGCCCGAAATGACCACAACGATAGCATTTTCGTGACTGCTTTATATGTTGGAAATATAACATTGTTTCTTTAGTCGACCAGGTTACACATACGAAAATGAGGATTAGTTCATTGATTGGAACAATATAGAAAAAAATTTATGAAAACCTCTCATCAAGCGGGCATATTCGACACAGGAAGCGAACTACATCTGCTTGAAGAGGAAACTCATGATCTTAGTTAATATATAAAAATGAGTTAATTCACACAATTTTAAATATCCAATTGCATGAAAAATCAAATATTTGCAAATAGGGTTTGAATATATTTATAGATGGATATCTTTGAAAATTTGTTAAATATGAGTAAACATTTTCTAGCATAGCATCATAATTTCCCACAAAATACCCTGATTTTATCTCTAATCGAAAATCTACTAACCTTAAAAAATTATGAGGTTCGTCGATTTGGGCGTGGAGCGATGGGTGTTCGAGATCGAAAATCGGGGAATGAATGGGTGTCGAAGATCGAAAAAGCATGAACAACCACACAGTAGGTTCGATTTTTGTAGTCGTCGGTGCTTCTTCACCAATTTCGTGATTGAAAAATAATTGCAGAAATTTCATTTCGTTGGGTGGGGAAGAAATGTAGAAATGAAAAAAAAAAAAAAAAAAAGAGAGGGAAATACCGTCCAAATTTTATCAAATAGGAATGAATTTAAATACTTTTGGACAAATAAAGATTTAAATTCAATTGTACCAAAAATAAAAGGAATAAATTACTTTTCTATAAATTAAAATGATAGATTAATTTTGATAAAAGTATTTACGGCCGTCTTGCAAAATTTGGCGTCACCTTATATTGTATTTTATTTTATGGAGTGAAAATCATTTATCTTTCCCCTTCCATCTACATCTTGGGAGATTTTGGTAATGGCCACAAAATATAATATATGTGGTCTCAGATACTCCATGGGAAATCGGAAATTGGAAGAATCAATGTAACAAAATCAAAGAAGGTGTTGTGTTGCATTACTCTCCATTATTACTTTCACTTCTTCTTCTTCAGATGCTTTGCTTCTGATATACATACAAATCTCTATTTGATGTTAATGGTTATGGTGGTGAATTCCATTTCCTTGTTGCGGCCAGAGCGGAAGCTGTAAGTAGTAACTCCCCTTGCGTGACTGACTCAGTCTGAGAATATTATTCGAATCGGTTGTGGTGTGGTGGTGGTCAATCATGGCACAATTTACTGCCAGTGGCCGTCTCAAATGTCTCTTCAGCGGCGACGGATTGTCGGTTGGGTTCGAAGCGTTTCACCAACGTAAAGCTGAGGAGTTTGGCAGCGCTACCGGAGCTTTAAGATTCGCCTACTTGCGTTCGCTTCCGCATGGAAATCACAAGCGCAGGCTCTGCTTCTTTAGTGGTGTCACTGTTCACGCCTCCACACCGTCGTCGTCGCCTGTTAGAAACTATTCGGATGATATTTTCGATGATGCCTCAGAGGATGACCACGCTGAAATTGATATCGATGAACTTGCTGGTTTCAGGGGCCTGGTTTTGGACATCTCATACAGGTATGCTTTCGACCAATCAATTTTCCTTTTGAACTTACTTTGATCTCCTGGCTGTGACTTGTTGTTTTCTTCCCGAACTTGTGCTGATACTGTTATATTTTGTACATTTCGGAAACGATTCTATGTTAATTGACCTCAATGCTGCTGATTAGTCATCCGTTGAGAATGAGCTTACTGTTTGGAACAAGTAGGTGTGTTGGCTATGGAACTCCACTCTTGACTTAACTCAGTTGATTACTTGAAATTTGATGGACACCTCATTTTCTTTTATCTGTTTTAGCAGAAAATCAATTGTGTTTTCACTTTTCCAAGGTCCTTTGAGGAGGATCTGGCAAAAAAACAAGGCTTGAAATCTGGGAACAAGATATAACTCCGAAGAGAAATTGTTTTGTTTCCTTTTGTTGAGATTAAAATTACCATTCAGGTCTCCCATGTAAGAACCTTGAAGTCCTTAAGTCATTTAAGTTGTAAGCTAATGCAACTGTAGACATGAAGCTGTTACATACAGTAGATTTAATAGTTTAAGTATGCTCAATATATGGGAAAAGAAGCCATTGATCTGAAAGATTAAGCTGGGATATCTACTTTTTGTACTAGGGAAACGAATTGGACATAGACCAAGGCTTATACATCCTTCTGTAACTTTTGTCATTGTGCTCAATCAGTTAATGCTGCTCTTTCGACTATGTACTTGTATCATGTTTCACTGTGTTAGAGTTGGGAAAAACATATAGGTTTGTCGTGTTTTGGGCATTCTTCACTGTATAATTGAAGCAGGCCAAACAGCAGAGGGGTGTTTATATTTCTTGTTTTCCACAGGAATGCCTTTTTATGCTTTCTACTAATATTTGCTTCTTATATATCCATTACCCTGCATTACATTCAAGTGTTGGAATTTTGTAGATGCTGTGACCATGCTAACTGAACAAATTGTAGCTCAAGATATCTATTAATGCGGTATTCATGATTATTATGAAAAAAGAAGTGATGAATTGTTTTTCATCTAGGCCTGTCAATGTTGTCTGCTGGAGACGTGCCATATGTTTGGAGTACATGGACAAGGTAAGATTCTCACTGGTTTTTCTGTTGTGTTGAAGTGAGAGTTTAATGATATCCAGAATACTATTTTCATAACTTAAGATATGGAAGATCACATTTGAGTTGATATATTACAGACTTCAAATCAGAAGAATTAGCCACATCTGTCTGAATTGATTTTATTGTTTGTGGTCAAATGCATTTCATTTTCATCAATAGTTCAAGAAATTATAAAGTTAGTTATGATTTCCAGTTTTCATGCACCTCTTCTTTCATTAACGCAAATTTATTACCAGGTCATAACTTTTGATTTCATTATTTTTACTCCTGAATTGCAGGCTGATGTTTTAGAATATTATGATCAAACTATAAACTCTCCTAGTGGTTCATTCTATATTCCTGCTGTGCTGAGGGTATGATCCACCATTCCATCAAGGAATGTTATTTCCATTTTCATTTGCCAACAACATATATGTGGTTGATGTCTTCCTTGTGAAATAGCTAAAATACAAATCAATGTGTTCCTTTATGTAATTATAAAAGGCTCAATTCTTAGTTTACTTAACTTACTCTAGAATCTCCGAAGATTATTGAACTCTCTAACTTGACCAGAACTTCCCAGTTGTAAGTAGAACTTCTAGGAAAGTATAAATGCAGTAATTAGCCAATGTGATGGTTAAAATGCAGGAGAATACTGTTTTTGAAACAACATAGTTGAATATATCAATTTGGCTGCTTTGGCACAAAACTCTCTAGTTGTTTCTGGCAAGGAAATGGGAAAGAGTAAAATGGAGTATCAAGAGCAGGGGGAAGCAAATGGAATGCCAAGTTTTGAATGTTATTAAGAGAGAACAAAGAGCGAGTAGGAGTGAAAAAGGGAGGGTATACTTGGGGGTGACTGATGGTGGAATGAAATATAAAATACAAATTAAAACATAGAATCCCTTTCAAAACAAACCAGTCTAACTAAACTACAGGGTTGTGAGTAAGTGATGCTATATATTTCAGTAGAGTTTTGTGTTCTAAATCTCCTCATCAAATGACTAATTTATACATCAATGCTCCCAGGTCCCTCATTTACTACAAGTTGTCAAGCGAAGGAAAATGAAAAGAGGCCTCAGTCGTAAGAATATTTTTCATCGCGACAATTTCATGTGTCAGTGAGTTCTTGCGAAACAGGACCTAGCATCTTTATAATTAATTACTCTATTATGCAAAGTATTTAGTTATATTGGAGTTTTATTCTGATCATCAAGTTTGTTTAGTCAATTGTTAGCCATACCAGGTCGTAGCTTACACTGACAAATGTTTAGAATAAGCTACAAATCAAATTATAATATAATACATGAGTAGGAAGGTTAAAAACTCAAATCTCTATCAAGGATGCTGAAGCTCAACAATGACAAGCTAAAATCTGTTCGAAATGTACGAGGGAACACAACTAGAAGAAAAGAAAATAAGCTAAAGCAGAACTAGGAAGCTGTCATTAAAATGCAAGAGTGCCTAAGAACCCTGAGTAATGATTAATTACAAGTAGAATCAGCTATAAGAAGTAGATGGAAATTTTAAGGTAAGATAAGATATATTTTCCTCAAAAAACAGTTTTGTCATATCTTCGATACTTTTTTGTAGGAAAATTTCCCCCATCTTCTTTTCTTCGATACAGTTATTTCCATTTTCATTACAAGTTTGAGATTGGTTCATACTCATTTGGCACTATTTTAATCCTATGCGCTGACTTTTATCAGCATGCTCAACAGATATTGTTCTTCGCAAGAGAATTTGACGGTTGATCATGTTCTACCAATTGCGCGTGGGGGAAAGTGGACTTGGGAAAATCTGGTAACATAACCTTCAAGGAAATATTTTATGCTTATGATGCATTACCCAATTGGGAGTTAAATGGAGCTCGGTACTACTCCAGTTTCTATTTTAGGCAGCAGTGTACGATTAAACTATTTATACACAAGCACACATATTTGCTCGGTACATTAACCTCAAATTGCATGCATGTTAGTTTCTGTTGGCATTGATAAGCATTATCTGATGTGTTTTATTTTTAAACTTTTTCCGAGACTCGAAGTAATGATGGTGACTTATTTGCATATCTTCTCATTGAAATAGGTAGCTGCCTGTGCCAAATGCAATTCGAAGAAAGGCCAGAAAACATTGGAAGAAGCAGATATGAAATTGATGAAGGTCCCCAAGGTGTCTCTCTCTCACACTCTATCTCTCTCTAAGAATATTAATGCACAGAGAAGAATGGTTTAAAGTGTTTGTACTTATAGTGTTAATAATATTGGGCACACAAAAAATTACTACAACAGGCCCCAAAGGACTTTGACATCCTGGCCATACCCCTAACAAATCATGCAATAAAGATGCTGAAGGCGCGGAAAGGTATGCCGGAGGAGTGGCGGCAATACCTGTCGAAGCCTTATGTCGGGCCATGACTTGGACTTGTGCAAGGTAAGGATGATCTTGATATTGATTGATTCACATATGGTGGATATGTATATGCATGTATGTATCTATGTTGATGGGGCTTTGAAGGTTCTCAGATTTGGTAATGATGTGGTTTAAATAAATTTGAATGAATGCCTTATATAGTTAGTGAATATATAGTCGATATTCTTGCCTTCTTTATCGTTTTCATAAGGTATGACGGAGAATTTATTAGCACCAAGTTAATTGTTCCAATCAGCATAGCATATAAAAATGTAACAAATAATACATGTGTGAATTTATATGTTGTGCTATCAGCACTATATTGATTATATTTAATCATATATAGATTCATGTATGTGTAAATTTTTAGAATAGTGTGGTGGAAAAGATTGTCTTTTCAGTTCATCTTTGACATTGACCGACACTTTTTTAATTGCTTGGTTTTATATTTTAATTTTGTGTGCACGGAAATAATGATATTTAGTCGGGATAAACAGGAAAAATTTTGATAATTTAAAAATGAAGAGTATTGTTTGGTTGTAGTTTAATATGTGAATTATCAAATGTTGAAAAAAAATTATTTTAAAACAAAACTGAAGAAAAAAATATTGAAAATATTCTATTTAGAATTAGCACGCTTTATTTACAAAATATACTTCCTCTCGTTTGGATTTGATACGAGTGTTAACAAATATAATATTATATTTATTAATTGTAGTGTTTTGAAAAATACGTGAATGAATTAATAAAATGAAAAAAAAAAATGATAGATGAGTGTATAAATAATATAAAATAAGTGACATTTTTCCAAATAATAAATTGAATTTTCAAACAAATAGAGTATTTATTTGTGCACCATAAACAAATAGCCAATATAGCCAAGAACAAGTACTTTTTTTTACATAAGATTTCCTACATATACAAACAAATATAAGTAAAAAATTTCAGTAACAAATTATAGCAGCAATTCAGATTTTCTTGTTCCAGCAATGACAACAGTGACAGAAAAATGTGATCATGGAGTAGAGTATATTAGTCTCTAAATGATTTTATCCATTCCATAAATAAAAGTTATGCTACAAGCAAAATCCAACTCTGGTAAGTGTTTTTCCTATATAACAGCCATTAAAACTCCATGAATAAAATATATCTTCCATTCCCAAGTAAGCAAGCAATATGGCAATGGCAAGAGGTGATCTGATGATGGATGACTGAAACAAACCCCAATCACCTAAAAATATGCCACCCCACCCCACCCCAACCTTCTTCAAATAAGGTGAGAGACAACTGACTCAAAATTGTTCTTCTGGAAGGAACTTACTTTCTGATGAACACTCGACGCAATGCTACATTCTCTCTACTTGTACAGTTTTGTGGCTCACAAATCAAAATTGGCCCGTACGTAGTGTGTGTAGTTATGACAAGTTCAAGGGATGCAGTGCAACTCCATTTTTGGCAGCAGCGACGTGTCCCCACCTTCCTAACCGTGGTTCCTGAAAAAATAGACGAGTCAGCTACATATCATTAGAATGATGCAGCAAGAGCCAGAAATGATAGACAATGGTGAATCGAATACAAGCCAGCATGAACTCATAAATATGACATTCTCACGAGACAAGCTTCAATAAATTTGTATAAATGAAAAATACACTTTGATAAAATAAGAAAAGTGCTAAAATTTCTGCAATGCACTTCCCTTATTCAATGCACATGCATAGTTTTATGTTGTTTCTATTGGCTTGAAGACTTTGCATAGAGTTCATTTACTAGTCAAAAACATGTGAAAATCATGCAAGTTCATTAAATAACAAAAAGCAGAAATGGCAGACAAAAGACAAGTACTCAATCCATATAGAGAATGAATTATTCACCTGCCCAGCTCCCGCAATCAGAAATTTCCCCGATTTTGCAAATGCCAAAGCATTCACAAATCCATCCTGCGTAAGTATTAAATCTTATAAGCAACCATGTAGATAATTAATTATAAACAAATTTAAGACAGTACTAATATAGTTTACATTGTAATGGCAAAGCTTTTCGTAACTAAATCATGATAGAAAACAGCGATCGAATATCTCGTAGAGCCAAGAATCCAAGATTAGTAACATTGTTTGTTTGCAGGATTAGTTCTCTCCTCTAGCCTAAATCAATAAACTATTATAGCTGCCAAATATGAGACAAGGGGCAATATTTTAGATATCAATGAAGTGACAAGCTCGCATTAACAATAAGAATAGAAAATTGGTATAAACATCTAAATATGTGAAGACTTTTTCTCTAATGATTTGCTTTTTACTGTGTAAACAAAGATTATTAGTATTAAAAATTTACAATAATGAGAAAATAATGTTAAAAAGAAGAAATCCAAGTTCAAAAGCCTACCAAGGAGAGGCCAAATAAAGGTTGAATGTCTTTGGATTCAGGTGCAACTTCCCAAAGGCGGACTGAACCATTTCCAGCTCCTGAAGCAGCAAGATCACTGTTTCTACAAACAGCAACAGAGTGGACCCAAGAAAGAGCCGGCAAACCGAGCCTTGATGAATCATGAACACCATTTTCTACAGAGCACAAGTTACAGTTACTATAGGGCAAGCAAAGGTCTCGTATATCCACATGATTGAAAGGTTAATTACCTTTGTGGCCATTTGATAGTCCCTCATGTCTACTTTGTTCAAACTCACTGAATGATGAGTGTGCATTTTTCACAATATGGATGGGTTTCTTGCGTAGTATGTTCCAATGCTCAATACTTCCATCATCAGAACCAGATAAGAACTCATCGTTGCTAATGAAACAACAACATTCAAGTGAAGATGCTGGTGCTCGAAATACCAACTGGGATTCCTCAGGAACCTAATTTGACACAAGCAGGGAGAAAGGTTATCTAATTATAATTAGAGAAAAAAGTAAATAAAAAACCACCCCCTAACATGTTGAAAAGCAAACAAAGAATTCTATGTAGAAACAATGGAGAAACTGAAATAATTTACTACATTAAAAATGTACTGCACCCCTACAGGATCAAAAGCTGGGAATCAATATATCTGCTTTCAAATGTCAGTCATTGTGCCGAATCACCAGCTAATGAAATTAAGTAACTAAATTCAAATTTGTACAAGAAGAAAAGGGGAAAGGACAAAGAAATGCAATTAAAAAAAAAAGTGGCAATCATCGTTAATGATTGCAACCACTTCTGTGTATGGATTACCTTCCACAAATGCATGGTACGATCACGTCCAACTGTCAGGAGACGCTCTTTTCTCAAGCAATCGATGGTCAACACGTCACTCTGGTGACCAAATAAGGTGTTTATATAAGTTCTATCTTCGGCATTCCATATCTTGATAGAGCGATCAAATGAACCAGAAAAAAGTTCGGAAGTCCCTTGCCTGAATGTTAAGCATGAAACAGGTCCTTTATGCCCAGGAAAAGCCTGCATAAAATGTGATATGAAAGGATTAGATCAAATATCATGTGCAAAATGCTGTCAAGGTTGCAAGTAAACATTTTATTTTATTTTTCCTAAAAAAAAGTGAGATTTGAACATTCAAGAACATTCAAAAGCTTGTCGTTGTTCAAAATTTACAATTGAAATACCCCATCAACAATGAACATTCGAATTCAGGAGCAAAAGTACAAGACATTAAATAGTTTGCAGTTAATTGGACAAACCTGAACGTGTGCCCGTGTACGAATGTCCCAGAGATGAACATGACGATCTAAACCTCCACTAGCCAAATATCGGCCATCAGAGCTTACAGCCAATGCTAGAACATGTTTACTATGCTTGGTTGCTTTACCTTGGGGATCCTTCATACCATGAGATTTTAAAACCTCTACAGAAGGCCAAGCATATTTTTCTGTCTTCCCACTATCCACATCCCAATGAACGATGTTACCATCCTTGGAAGCTGAAAATCCTCTTGAATCATCTTCAGATAGAGCCAAACTTGTGACAGGTTGTCGGTGCTTTACTATAAACCGAAACCCTTCCCCTTCTAATGGCTTCTGAAGCCTGTCAAAGAAAACCAATATCCCATTAAATCACTACATATGCACTAAGGGTGTGTTCTTATGTCAAAACTTCACAAAAGTTTTACTATTCATCAAATTTTAACCTCCAAAAGCATCAAATCAAACAGCTATGTTTTTTATATTATACTAAAAATCAAATTTACATTCAAAACATCACATCAATACCTATTTATCTACATCATACAACTATTCAAATTCAAATTTTTTACTATTCAAATCCAAAACCAAAATCCAAAACCCCAAACAAACACACCCTAAGAGTCCAGAAGGCAAGGAAACTATTGAACCAGCTAATAAAACAACGCATTCATATTGAATTTGTGCAACAGATATCAAATATTTTCCCGAGCCAAACGAAATACTAAAACAGGCTTTATTTTAGCAGAGGAACATCGTAGGGTCGTGTGCTTCGAAGCTGGTACCTTATGTGAAGCAATCATACCAAAACTGGACAAAAATTCGTACATACAAGAACCAGAACAGAGAACTTGAAAATAATTATGTAAAAGCACAAAACAGACGAACCTAGAAGCAATGGCTCTGCGGGAACGACCACTCTCCTCAAGCTGCTCTTGCTGCAAAATCTTAGCAATATGCGAATCTCTCTCTTCCCCTGATTCATCATCATCCTCTTCAGTTTTCCTCTCATTTTTCCTAATTTTATCCAAGAAAACATCAGCCAAACGCTTCCTTTTCTCGTCGGCAGTCTCATTTATCTCATCATCTATCTGCTCATCCTCCTCCCCCATCTCCCCTTCCGTATCAAACTCTTCTCCACCATCCTCGCTACTCTCGATGTCTTCATCATCATTACTATTGAACCTGCGGCGCCGTTTCTGTTCAGGATTGTCAAAAAACGGATCATCCTTGACGGAAGAAATCCTTTTTTTATTGTTTCCCTTGCCCCTACCCTTAGTCTGGTTAGCAGATGTTTTGCTCTTCAGATTCTTTCCCTTCATGATAGGCATCACGACAATTGATAGAGCACTCAGAACCAAAATTGAAAGAGCAATAACATGCGCTGTCAAGAGTGTACAGAGAAAAGTGTCTTCAGTGAGTTTTTGTGAATCGAAAACTTCCAACTTTGCAAACATACGGACATGTTTTTTCAAATATAAATCAGGTAGTTCCCTGCACTAGATTATTGAATAATAATTTCTGCATGTGAATCCTGGCCTTTTCAATTTCAATCCATTACTTAGAAAATCATACCAGGAATTAAATATTAGAAATGTTTTGGCGTATAAGGATTAGCATAATGTTCTAATGTGCAATTATACGTGAATGTTTAAGTTAAAAGTGGTAGCGAGTCCGAAACAGGGTAGCACATCTAGATTACAAAAGCGTGAACAAGTCAAAATTGCTGCAAATTTCTTAAAGATTCTCACTTCTTCTCTTTTCAGCCATAAAACAACAACATTGAATTAAAATACAAAAAGAAACAGTAAAAAATCAACTTCTGTGGATACATTAAAGATGCTTACCCTTTCCTCTATAGCTGTAAGAGATTGAAAGGAAGGGGAAGACTGGACTAACAATATGCAGTGTCGATTGTGAAGGAGTCGACGACGTCAGTGAGGTGGAAGTTGAAGAAGAAGAAAGCGAGGTTACGTTGAAGAAGAAGAAGAAGAGGAAGAGGAAGAGGAAGAAGAGAGGCCGAGCCCGCTAAACAACTGCAGGTTGAAATTAGGGTTAAGGGGAAGTTGGGCTATGTGTTGGAGAAAGAAAATTCATAAAAACCAATTCTTCAGAAATTTGGGCTTTGCCTTAATAAAAAAATCTTACTATTAAGTAGTAGTACTATTTTAGTTTGGTTTATAATTACATTTTTTTTTAATTCTATATAATAAATGATTTTTTATTTTTTATAAAATTTACTCAATAAAAAAATATATTTAATAAATATAAATTAATTTAATTAACTCCCTAGTATATAAAATTATAAATAATATAGTATCATTCAAAACTTTTTGTTTCTATCTCTCTTAAAAAAAAAAATAAATGTTTTATTTATATTTAAAACCATATTTGTTTTACAAAATTAGTTTAATTTTTTTATTTAATTTGTACTATAAAAAACTGTTATTTTCTACAAAAATTATATTTATTTTGCATATATTTGTTATTGTAATATAACTTTCAAAATATTTAAATGTATATTTATTTTTTTGAATCATATATATATAATTTATTTTAAAACTATAAATAATATTAATTATATAAAAAATAATAAAATAAAATTATAATTCACTATTATTAATTAATTAAATATTATTTTCTTAAATACTGTTGATAATAAACATTATTTTCTTTAAATATTGTGTCACTAATTAAATGAGTCAATTATCTTGGGAATGATAGAGTATTATTTTAGAATTTGATTTTAATTTTTTTATTGTATAACATATATATTTTCTATAAAATTGATAGTTATCGAAAAAAATCAGTATCATCGTAAGTTCTTTGGTCAAGATATATATATTTTTATCTTCCCAATTCAATATATTTTTTAGTATTTTCGTTCATTCCTAATTTTTACACAAATATGTATTTTTTTTGGTACTTTTATGAGTAAAAATGTCTAAAATTTATTTTAAACTCTCACTTATCAATAAAATATTATATTTTTAATTTATTATAAAAAATATAAGAATATACTTTCAGTTGGACGAAATAAGTATGATTCTATTTAAATATAAGTACGCAGGGTGTGTTGTTTTTTACAAAATTTTTCAACACATTTTTTCAAAAAAATTAATATATTATACACCCTTATTATTTTTATATTATCTACACAATTTTTTATACCTTACATAAAAAATATGGCTCCAAACCAAACCACAAAACAAACACACCTGTAGATATGCTCTATGAATATAAGTTCTTTTTTTCTTAAATCAATTGTAATATTTTTTGTATTGAACTATGTCATGTACGGTCTATTAATGCGTTATATTTGTATTATATAAACATAACACATTTATTAGATATTTTTTTATATCATATGTTTATTTATATATAGTAAGTTGTTTAAAATTATGTTAGTATATTGTTAGCTAATAGCACTATTTTTTTATTATGTTAACATATTAATGTATTATATTTTTCTATAGCATGTAATGTCTGTTTACTCGTGTGTTTGTTTGGGGGATTGGATTAGATTTTCGCTATTCATCCTATTTTCTCCCTAAAAACATCAAATTAAACAACTATTTTTATTTTTTATATTATACTAAAAATCAATTTTACATTCAAAACATCACATCATACAACTATTCAAATTCAAAATTTTTACTATTCAATTTTGAGTTGGGATTTGAATAGTAAAAATTTTGAATTTGAATAGTTGTATGATGTGATATAAATAGGTGTTGATGTTTTGTTTGGGGGTTTGGATTTTGAGTCGGAATTTGAATAGCATTTTACATTATATTAGCATAGTTCATATTAATTGTTTTTATTTGTTATTTCATTATTTGATATTTATACTATGTATCTAATATTAAAAATATTTTTACAATTTACTCCCTCCATCTATTAAAATAAGTTCACTTGGATCCGGAGATTAAGAAAAATAAATATTTTATTGAAAAAATGATAGGTAATTAGAGGTATTTCTAAAAATTTAGTTAGAAATTGAAGTAAATAAAGAGAGAAAATGTAATAAAGTTAGTGATATTTGTTGTAAATGAATGTTGAATGGGAGATAATAATTAAATGTTGATTTATTGACTTTACCAAAATTAATAATGAAATAAATTTTAACGGATGAATTATAAAAGAAAGTGAGAATATATTCCCTCCGTCTTACTCCAAATTGGTCATTTGGGGTTTTATAATAGATTAAGAAATAATAGTATTTTATTAGTTAATGAAAGAGTGTACGAGGTTTTAACATTTTTACCCATTGACTTTATGTATAAATTAATTGTATGTGTAATAAAATATTTGTAATTTAGGTCAAAGTTAAAGGTATTTTGGTATTAGTATATAATTACCTTTACTAAAATAGGAAATGAATATTTTGGAGTGAGACGGACGAAAATTGTAAAAAAAAATACTTTGAATTGAGACGGGGAGAGTATTAGATAAATGTCATTACTTTTATATCAAACAATACTAATAGAAATATTTTTATCTAAGTATTTATTTATTTATTTTTGGTGGGGTAGATATATACTACTTCATGTGTATACAAACTAATTACCTAATTTTCTATTTGGAACATTTGACAATTATTGTTTTTTTTCTTATTTTTTATACATAAAATTTACTATTTTGTCCTTCTTTTATTTACTAATTTCTTTTCTATACACTAGATAAATGACAAATTTGTCAACTTATAAAAAAAAATTAATTATCTAAACAAACCTGTAAATATCAATTAAGACAATAGAAAATGGATTGTGGGAGTATTATTTTTATATAGTACCTAGGGTCATATATATTATATATTTATTTTAAGTGGTAGGTATGACCATTATTTATACATATATAATAATATCATTATTTAGATATATAATTATGTTTCTTTAGCAATATTTTCTCAAATTTTACTATTTGGACTATGCGTTTACCGAAAAAAATATATTTTTTCATCTCACAAAACATCCAATCAAACATTATTTTCATACCAAACTCAAATCAAATTTTTTTTAAACTCATCAAAAGAAACACACCACATCGAATGGATCTTAAGCTAGCGGTCCTCTAAATAGATCACATATGGACTTTTTTGTAGGGTCATAATCTTTAATTGTCTTACTATATTGATTAATGACTTTTGTAAATTCATAATTTTTTCCAAACGTTTTTATAAATTTAAGTATCCGTTTTTTAGTATCTTGTAGGACTCGAGGAGTCTTTGAATCTTTTGGAATTGGTCTTACTTGGTGGAATAGATACGGTCTTTTTGCAATAAGACTTTTTGGAAATTTTGAATATTTGCATATGGTTTTTTGGAATTATTTTGATAACGTTTATAAATTTTTCTCCAAGTTTGGAAATAATGAGCAACTATTTGCTGTAGTACAAGATCGAATTAATTACACAATTTAATTTTGAATTCTTAGACAAGTGATTACAAATTTGGATGATAAAAAACTTGCACAAATTTAAAACTCGAACAAAATATCCGAAGGACTTTGAATTCGGCATGAAAGACTACTTGCTTTTGGAATTCTTCCTCTTCTTTTAACTTCTTGTTGAATAGTTGGAGTCTTAGTTGAACTTTAGAAGATAATATTTCTTTTTTCCTAGACATAAAACACTCACTAATGATAAAAATAATATTGAGAAATCTTTGATACAATTTGGGTGAAATGTTATAAATCAGAAATGATCAAATGGTTAGTATAATTTTTTTTTATACATTATCATTCGATAATGATGATATGAATAGCCTTTTGGAAAAAAAAAATGACTAAAAAAGTTTTTGATGAAAATAAAGATGACTATTCACACTGAGAACATATTTTTTTTATTACACATTTGGAATATAAAATACAATCTAAATTTTTAGAATCTTTTGTATGAATTAGTTCAATCGAATTTGAATCAAGTAAAATTAGCTTAAAAAAAACAGTAAAAAAAACTATTAAAACATGAGAAAAATAACTATTTTTTATTATATTTATTATCTTTTTAGGCTAAATATAAGAAAAATGAATATATTTGTAATTTTAGAGGTTTAGAAATTGAGATTCTAAAATTTATTCGAAGTTTGAGCGCATTTAAGTTAAATACCGTTAAATAAGGACCACCGAGGGGGTTAGACGCAGAGTTTATGAAACTACGAGGAGTTTGACGGAGTTTTAGAAGAAGAGACTACAAGACAAAGCAGTGGACACTGCGGTTGTGAGATCAATGCCGAAAAAATTCTCATTCGACAGGACAGTGGTTGAGTTGGGGTGAATCCGCCGTGGACGGATGATGGTGAACACCGACAGTTGAAGGAGAGTGGCGTTGGGCGTAACTCACCAGAGCTGGTGACGGGTAGGGCTAGAGGAGGAGGATTGTGGCGAAGTTGAGTGAAATCGCCGGCAAGACTATTGAGACACGAGAGAAGATGAAGGAGGGTGAGAACAAGTTGAAGGCCATTGTGATTAAATTCTTCTATTTTTCCAATAAAAATAAAAGTTATTGTATTAAGTTTTCTAAGAAATTTTTTCTTAAAAATACTTTTAATCCGAAAAAAAAATAAAAATTATATAACAAGTCATAGGGGTGGGCAAAAAAATCAAACCGAACCGCTAAATCAAACCAAATTTTTGATTAACTGAGCAAATTTGGTTCAAATACAAATATTGTATATTATATATTTGTTCGGTTCGGTTCGATTTCGATTTTTGATATTTTTTCGTTTCGGTTAATATATTTATATTATTATATTTTAAAATTTATATTTGATTCAGTTTCGGTTTAGATATTTGAAATATTTTTATTTAATTAGAATTTAAATTATTTTTTAATACTCAGCTCCGTCCCCTATACCGTGTCTGCTACACTGTAGACATGGTATTTTAAGAGGGGTGTAATTAGTAGATAATTAAAAATGTATTAGTGAAAATAATTATCCTATAGTATAAATAATTATAAATTAAGATTAAGATAACTAATTAGTTTAATTAATTTTTTTTAAAAATAAATTAAAAAGTTTAAAATGAGATTAAAGTGTGTAATCATT